GAGAATGAAAGAAAGAAAAAAATATAACTAGATGGAATAAATGTAATGATTTTCTTGACCAGTATTATGTGAAAACAGCATATATCTAGAATAAACGAAAAATTTTGAAATTACTACATTAAAATTATAAAGGAAGAAAATGTATGTAATCTGGGAATCCAAAATAATTCAGGTGTTATATTTTAAGATTTAACAGAATCTATGCCAAAGTGTTATAAATCTGTAGTGTGTTCCTGTAGGATGCATTCTATGTTTGTTTTAACATGTTTATACACCTTGTTACCCAAAGGATTTAAGGATTTTAAAATATACCATAGTTATTTACATAAAGGTGTTATGTAAATAATATTATTAAAAGCTAAAAAAAATTGTTACCTACTGTTGCGTATCTGCTCGTTTGTTAATTTCCAGTATAAATTCTTTCCGAGGAACTTCAGCAATACAAGTCCTTTCTTAAGTTTATTCTTTCTTGATACAACTTTTTAGTATACAGAATTTCCACAGTCACTTTAAACTTAAAAACCTTAATAACATATACTATAAATCACAGTGATTCACACACTTTACTTACGATGTCTACTGTTCGCTTGACTCAATTATCTCTATCTTCAATCTATCTGCATATCTATCTACATCTCTTCTATCGCGCTGGTTTTTCTCGACAGGATTATGTACTAAAAAAAAAAGAGGGCGCCTGGCAAAACACTTGGACATTCGCGAGGTTCCTCGATAAGTCATGATCCTTCTAGAAACTCCAGCATGCATGCCCCCAGATTCGCGTGACTTCCGCTGTCATAACACTGCCCCTTCCTGAGTATTGTTCGTCCCCAACAATAGCCACTTACATTAAACCAATAGATAATTAACAATAACTTGATTAAATGTACAGAATTTATTAACACAAAATTGGTCTCTGTCCAACTGGCTTCTGCTTCACATAGGGTTCACGTCGGTAACAGTCACATCAGCGGTAGTAACTTCATTAACGGCTTCACTGTTTTCCTTCTCAAAACAGAGTAGAGTTTCTTCTTTGACAGTGGCTTTTTCATGTGACACGGCTTTAGCAGCATCATTTGTTCTGTTGTTCACTTCATTCCAATTGAAATGTCCTGGACAGTGATAACGCCAAAGCCTGTTGGCATGCACCCCCTATGGCTTACCTCGCTGACCACATTTTATTCGGAAAGTCATGTCTGAGAGACGATTCACTATGTCATATGGGCCTTCCCATGGAGAAGACAACTTAGGTGACTTCCCTTTGGTCTTTCTGGGATTATACAACCACACCTTGTCTCCTGGTACAAAGCTGACTTCAGTAGATTTCTTATCATAAGACAACTTCATCGAATCAGCAGACGTTTTCAAGTTTGAACGCATTTGATGGTGAATATCATCCATCCTTTCCGATAATACTTTCACAAACTCTGACACATTCTCAGGTAACTCTTCATCAGGTGGGCGTCCTGTTATCAGGTCCACTGGCAACCGAAGTTCCCGACCAAATATCAGCTTTGCTGAAGTGTATCCAGTGGCTTCATGCTCTGCCATCAACAGTGGAGGGAGTAAGACATCCCAGTCATCTTGGCAGCTATTACAAAACTTTGCAAATTCCTGTCCAAGTGTCCAATTCTACTTTTCTACCATCCCATCGGACTGTGGGTGAAGTGGCGTTGTTCTGGTCTGATTCAAAGTTACGGCCTGATCTGAATGCAGTTCGTATGGCATACCGAATCTGAAGAA